GCAGAACCTGAAACAGAAAGAGAATTGATGTTGCATAATCGTAGAGCCAAGGTGACAACTGCTTGAGGCCGGTCACACACGGACTGGCTTTAAGGTTTGGTTCCATACTAATAACTTACCGCGGGCTACGGACCACCGTATGGTAAGTTGGGATTACGTTTTTGGGTTCAACCTTTTCTAACCTCACCCGCCCTCCACGTGTCTGCGTTCTATCTCCGACGTGAAGTGGTATAATAGGGTGAGCAATACTGAGGTTAGGTGTCGAGTGCTAGGTAAGGAAGGGTAATCAATCCACAAGATTGTGAAGTGACATCGACTGAGATAGTTACGACATGTGTTACGTATGCCTAGTCATCGCCTTCCTCGACGGGCAATGTTAGCTGACGTAGGGTCAGGTTAAACCAAAACATGACGGCATCAGTCAATGAAATCCACAACAGTTAGTTTAAGCCAGTCAAGTAGGAAGGTGTAGACTTGGTGATATGGCTGGAAACCGTTCTCAATGGTGGCGCAGATGCATCCACTCATTATGACTCATAATATTCAATAAAACTCTATTGTTCTTCCATATTACTAGTATTCTTTTTCCCTCACTCACACTTCCGTTTATTATCTCTCTCTATTTTGAATCTCTCTTTACTCTCTTCACTTGCTTTGTGTGGTGCAAGAAGGGAGAGTGGCAAAATGAAGTGCTGCACATCTGTGCAAAGTGCTCTATTGAAACCAGTCAGTCAGTCAGTACTCTTCACTCTTCAATCCAAAATATAGGCAGGAAGTATTAGAGAGGTCAAGCTGGAAAAGAGCTAGCGGCGGTCAAACCAAAACATGGCACCAGTCAATGAAATCTACAACAGTTAGTCTAGGCCACGTAGGAAAGTGTAGACTTCCTGACTGGTTGGGGTCCTCGGGACGGTAAAAACCAATGGTTGGAAACAATTGGTGACATGGCTCAAAATTGTTCTCAGTGGCTGGTGCAGATGCATCCACTTCTTGTGACTCATGATTTCCAATGAAACTGTTTTGTTCTTCGTTATTACTACTTACTTTTTTGTCTCACACCTCTGTTTACTGACTATATTATGCATTTCTTCTACTTTCTTCTCTTGATTTGTGTGCTACATGGAGTTTGGCGACTTGAACTGCCGCACATATTTGCAAAGTTCTATGTCGAAAACCGACCGACCGACCAGAATACGATGGGATTGAATGGTATATGCACCTTAGTTGGTCACCGTCCAGCATGGGAAGGCAAATCCTGATGCTTTTCCACTGCTTTGTGGATCAGAATTGGAGTCAAAGGTTCGGCTTGGGTCGTTCCTTATGATAACCATCTTTTTCGGCCTCGTTGTTCGGGCAGTAATATCCCATTCCTCGCGCAAACTATGAGATCTCATGTGACCTATTTTCTTGTTCGCATAATGTAACAAGTTTGAGGTTTAACAAAAAAGAAATACAACATTGATGGATGGAACAATAGGGTATCCCAGCGATTGAACAGCAGTTCACCAACTTTTTTACTGACTAATTTGAACAGACAGTCATTTTATAATATATTGTGTGAATAAATGAATGTTCAGGTATTTGTTTGTAGAGATTTTGTTTGATTGGTTGGAGGATTTCATCATAAGCTGATATCAGTTAGAGAACCATTGGAAAACCAGCCAAGAGTACTGGACAGCTGTTTCGTCCTAGTTTGCGTCTCTTCATCAGTACATACCCACCATCAAAGTTGGAACCCAGGACCTCCTGTTCACTAGTACGAAACAGCTGACTGACTGCCCAGTACTCTCAGGTTTTCCAATGGTTCTCCAACTGCTGTCAGCTCATGATGAAATCCTCTAACAAATCAAACGTAATCCCTACAAACCAATACCTGAAAATTGATGTGATGCTCCCTGGTGACTGGCCCTATTCAGGCGGTTAACCTGGGCTAATTCTATTGGGAAGCCGTGATCAGTAGGCTACAGAAGGCCGAAGATAAGGACAGTTACTCATAGAAGATATTGCTCAGTGGTCGTGCCATATATCGTGAGTCGGCAGAAGTTAGAATTCATGGGTTGGTCATTGGCTCGAGTCCCAGCGGCTGATGAATGGTCTGCGAGCTCGCTAGCCTAGTAACCGGAAGGCCCTGGGTTCGAACCCTGAAGGTAGATGCGTACTGATGAAGGGTCGCAAAATAGACTGCGGAAACAGCTGGCTGTCCAGTACTCCGAGGTTTTCCAATGGTTTTCTGACTGATGTCAGGTCATGTTGAAATCCTCCAGTGAATAAAGGAATGATTTTTGTTATATCTAAATTATTATCATAGATTGCTATCATTTTTTCGTTATTGCCTGCAGTGCACTGTAAGTACCCATGACCCCAGCAGGCAGCGAACCCCAAGAACTTCAGGTTACAACGCCATCTCCAGATGACTACGCTACTTAGCCAACAGAAGGTAGAATTCTCGGGTCAAGAAGTAGTCAACTGTCTATTCTGATAACCTGAAGGTTCAGGGGTTCGACTGCTGGCGGTGTCATGTCCTAAACCAGGATACAGCTTGTGTCGAGGGTTCTCTGCTTTTGCGTGCTAGTGGTAGTAATGTGTGAAGTCCACCTTGCAGCAACATATACAAGTAACGGATGTATACCTAAGATGTGTTGATGACACTTTTATTGTCTGTGGAAGCAGATCAAAAGCCGAAGACATGTTGGTAAAATTCAACTCATGCCATTCAAATCTCAGTTTCACAGTAGAACACGAGGGAAACGATACTATTAAATTTCTAGACTTTTTTTCTGGCAAAAAATGAATGATGGAACAATCGAAAGATCTATATTTAGAAAGTCTTCATGGACAGGACAGTACATGCATTTCAAGAGCTTTGTTCCAACCCAGTATAAAAAGAACTTAGTCAGAACACTGTTCAATGGAGCACGAAAAATTTGTTCTGACAGTACTGTTGAGCATGAAATAAAATCTCTGAAGGATATCTTATCTAAGAATCGATATCCTGAAAAGTTCATTAATAAATACTCTAAAGAAAATAGCCCCTGCAAAACAATCCGAACAGTTCCGAATAAACCTGTCTATATCAGTTTGCCGTTCAAAGGAGATGATGTACAGGAAGTAGTCAAACGAAGACTCGACAAAGCCATCAAGAGAATTTATTATGCTGCAAAACTTGTTTTCTTTAAAACCACTAAGCGAGTGCTTCATCAATCTGGGAAAGACCAGTCGCCAATCCTCGACACTTCAAACTGCGTATATCAATTTGAATGTGTTTGTGGAAGCATATACATAGCTCGTACAGAAAGGCGATTGTCTACTCGCATGATGGAGCATTTGCCAAAATGGTTGAAAACAGCTGAGTTCAAAGTGCCAAAATCCTCAATAACAAAGCATCTTGTGGATTACGGGCATGGTATCGACGCAGTCAAGTCATTCATCATTGTCAGTAGACAAAGAAAAAAGAAGATGCTTGCAATTGCAGAGGCTTGTGCAATTCGAGTTTACAAACCAGGTCTCTGTGTACAAAAGGAGATGGGCGTGACTCTGAATCTACCATGGTAATACGTTTTACTTATAATTCTACCTCTTATTATTATTTCATTATTACTATTATTACTCTCATTATTATTATTCTTGATTCATTTAAAACTATCCTTTATCAGTAGCATTATCTTAACCCACTTCAACACTATTATTATTATTGTTATATTATATTATTGTTATTATAACTATTACTATTGACATCCCTCTGGTTGCAATTCTTGTTAAATTCTCTAATGTCTAATTGTTTATCTAAGTGATGTAATTGAAGCGTAATGCAATTTATCTTAATTTTGATCTCCCATACTCTCTCTCCCCTTATCTAATTGCACATGACCTGGAAAAACATTCGCACCTGTCTTTCTGCATGACTAATTCAATGTAGTTTGTTTACTTATCAGTTTTATATCTCCCAATGTAATTTCAAAAGTGTATATATATCCGTGTATGTAGAGTATTCAGCTGACGATATAAGTATAAAACTTGGCCACTGTGGTAGAGTGTAACTCCATAATGGATAAGAATTTATTTTGATAAATCACACAGTGTTGTACAGTTATATTAACTGATGAAATTTCGAGCACAAACTACTGCTCATAATCATATCAAGTTCACAAACCATCGGATTTTCAACAGTCAATGTTTAAAAAATCATATAACTGCAAAATATTTACACATACGCACTCCAATTACTTCAAGAAAAATATCCTCAGCAGCTCAACATCTCAGTAGATTATGTCTAAGAGAAGAACATCGAATTACTGTGAAACTAAATAATATACGAAATGAAATCGAAAAACTCAAACAGAAACTCAAATGTATGGTCAATGACAAAGATTATGTAATTGTTGTTGAAACATCCGAAAAAGCTAGAGGATCAGCATTAAGAAAATCAAAAACCACACAAATCAAAAAATTCAACAAACTAATTGAAGAAAAGAACACAGCAAATAAAATTGATGTCAACGCTTCATCCTCTATCAACAGAACGAAGTGGGTGATCAACCTCTCATCAAGGTAACTAAGCTCTAGTGAGATAAAAGTACTTGAGGAAGGACTAAATTTCAATATAACAGTTAATAAATTAAAACCAGAGGATGTCATTCCTAACATAGAAGTAGCACTAGGTTCAATAGATAAGACAACAGCAGAAGGGGTTCGAGCACAATGTGCATTAACCCTGAAAAATCAAAAGAAGGCAAAATCAACTTGATATGATTATGAGTGGCAATAATTTATGCTCGAAACGTCATCAGTTGATATAACTGTACAACACTGTGTGATTTATCAAAATAAAATCTTATCCATTATGGAGTTATTCAGCTGAGGAGGAGTTCTACCGATATTTGATGAATTCATTAAATCATCCTGCTTTATTAACCTTTATTGCTTGTTTTAAAATCACATTGAAAGCACTGATAATTCTGCTCCCTCTCTCTCTCTGTCTCTATACTTCTTTTACTTTTCAGTTCTGTACTACAATGATTGTATGTATTTAGCTCATGAATGTTTATCCCTGGGTGAACGTGGCCCGTACAAATTTATTGGAGATTTTCTCGATTTAGACTATGAAACAGTAGCCAGTGCTAATGATATTGTTTTTGATGAAGATATTCTGGAGAGATTAGCTGCAATGGGTACTTGTAGTCTGGTACCACATTTTCATCAATCTGGTGCCAAAAGCTTATCGTATCATTTAAGACGTGAACGACAACATCTCCTACGATGCATTGAAAGGATACAAGGATTTCATGTAGGTGCCTGTTTTGTTTATTTCTATTTTAATAGTTTGTTTGTCTGTTTGTTCGTGTTTGTGTGTGTGTGTGTTTGTGTGATATTACTTTGCTTGTATTCAGCGTGTTCTTCAGTTGAAAGCGTCTTCATATTCACTCTATTTTAATGCGTGCCCAGCCTTGAGAGAGGGGCTCAACACCTTGGAAAACAGTTTTCAGTTAGGTGTTTCGGTAACATCACTTGCCCTTATGTTGGGTGTCGTAGTGTGTGTTACAGGGTATTTGACGTATATTTGTAAATCTGACTTAATTCAAGCGTTGGTTTGCAGGGATATGACTGGTTACACGTTTCATACATTTATTCCTCTTAATGAATTTGAACAAAGAAAGAACTACAGTTTTAGCAGAATAAAATGGTACCATCACTGTTTATTTCGTTGCCGTCTCGTCAGCTGCTTACAGGGCGAAGTCATTATTAAATGTATCTACAAAAACAATTTTAACATACTTGCACAGATTTCATTTTAAACAAAAATCAATCGATCAACATACGCATACACTAATATATATATATATATATATATATATATGCAATATTAAATGCTATTCCGAACAATAATAATCATGCACAATGGAAACTTTTCAGCATTCCTCATTCGGATGAAAGAGAGATGAAAAATATTTAGTTACCAGGGCAAAGAAAGACTGATAACCGCTTCTTTCTGGACGCGTAAATCAGGTTTTACATTTGTGACTTCAGATTTTCCATACTTGTTGATGAACCTTTGAGGGTACCCATTGCTCTTCAATATCTTTGCTCTTTGATGACTAACTGATATCAGTTAGAGAAACACTGGAAACCAGCAGGGAAAACTGGACAGCTGTTGTTTCGTCCTTGTTGTGGAACGCACTTGCCGGGATTCGAAACCAGGAACTTTCTCTTACAGCGAGAGTTTGTAGACCGTTCAGCCCCTAGGGGGTACCTGGTCAAGTGTACTGTGGACTCCAAATTCTACGAATTTAAGAACTTGGTTTTGAAACCCAACAGCTGTGCGTGCTGCTAAAGAGTCGTGGACTAAGACGGAATGGCTGTCCAGTACTCCCTGAGAGTTTTCCAGTGGTTCTCTGACTGACATTAGCACTTGATGATAATACCTGTAACCTAATTCAGTTCTCTGACGTGAGTCATACCTGGGTACACCACCGATGGGCTTCGTCTCAAACAAGGTAGATGGCTATCTGGGGTTTAGGTCCCTACGAGCCTGGCTAGAAGGCACTACTGTTTGATGTGAGTGGTTTCTAACCACTGAGATGATTCAATCAGTAGTATGTAGCTGTAGATTTTTTCTTGTAAAAATCCGGTACGAAAATTGTAATCCAACTTTCGATTTGAATGAATAAAAACACACACACACACACACAGTCACTACACGATCGCATAGTCAGTATTAAACTAAGGGCGTGTTCAGAATAAAGGGATTAGAATAAACAAATGTTCAACAGAAAGGGGAACATAACTGAAGCACGTACAGCAAGTACTTTTCAACTATAGATCAAATAAAATAGGAATACCTTAAGTGAGATGAATGTCAATAGAAAGCAATAATTACGGTTACACAGTAACAATATAATAAACATATTAAATATTCCCATAGTAAATTGTTCTAAATATAATAAACCAAATATAAACTCTTACTACTTACTAATAAAAATAAGTAGTATAAATAATAAACACAAAAGAAATTGTAACAAAGAATAGATAAGGAAGAAGTTAACACTGTGTTATGCATTTACGGCTGCTCTCTCTGTGACAATTTATTTTGTATGCCATGTTAACGCCTTCGCGAACGAATGAATGAATGTTAGGGTTGATTCCATCAGAATAATGACAATAATAGATTATGGAATTTGTGGGAATTTTGATTGATTTGATTTCAGTTATTGGCTTTTGTCATGAATGCTAATTAGCATCAGTTGGGAGTAGTGGATTTTTGTCTCCTTCTAGCTTGAAACTCTTGCTTGAGCAGTGTTCACTGACAACGCCATCAGAGAGCGAACACACTAGGCACATAAAGGTTACGACGCCAAGCTTGATTGTTCATCAAGCCAATTGGAGCCAGAACTCCTCAGCGATCTGCAAGTTCTAAGTTTCTCAATTCGTAATACAGCACACTACCCTCACTATTCACTACGATAAGCAATCTACTCTATTTCAACATGGTGGACCAGTAGTGCTCTTTAACTTCTCATAAATGTAATCATTGAAGTACCAACGAAGGCTGGAAACAATTATTGACGATATGGCTCAAAATCATTCTCAATGGCTGTCGCAGATGCATCCACTCTTTGTGACTTATGATACCCAATAAAACTTTATTGTTCTTCGATATTACAATTGTTTTTGCCTCATATCACTGTTTACTGTCTCTATTTTGCATTTACTTTCACTTTCTTCTTCTCTGGCTTTATGTGCTACATGGAAGGAGTGTGGTGACTCGAACTACTGCACATCGGTGCAAAGTTCTAACTATGTTGAAACCAATTAGTCAGTCAGTCAGTCAGTCAGACGTAAACATTGACGTAAATTGTTGTCTACAATTTTGACTTGTTCTCAGCCAGCTCTCACCACAAGTTGACCCCATGTATAATGTGAGTGTTGACCTCTGATGTTTGGATGTATGGGACATTCCTACAAAATGTGAGTGATAATAATGGAATCTTAATAATTATAATAATAATAGTCATACTATGTAGGTGATTTGATTGATACCGCATATCGGTATATATCATAATCGTGTATGGAAACACGTATTCGTGTCTATTTTGTGCATTCTCATGTTCTAACCGATTTTTAACCCAGCTAAATTAATATCTTGTATTGTATTCCTTCATTTGCACCCTATAAGAAGTGTATGTTTGATGAAATTGCAGTTATTATTATTATTATTATAGTTTGTTCGGTGTACTTTACTAACTGTAGAGTCATAGCAAAGCATTGTGTAGAGTCGAAAGTTCGAGAGAGGGGGGGGGGGTGAAGAGAAACAATCGTCGAAAACTATGCATGAGATGACCTTCAACATTTAGTAAACATGTAAACAAATATATATGCCACTCCTGCTACTACCACTACTACTAGCACTATCATGCTGTTTGTTTTTGTTTACGTGAAACTAATTCTTATGCGACTTACTGGCTGACCGACTGACTGCCTTGACATCTAGACGAGTTTGTTTGTTTGTTTGTTTTAGTGCAGCTTACCTTTGTAAATTTATCTGGTGGATTTTATAATAAAATAATAAAAAAAAACTTATTTACGGCTCTTTTTGTTGTTGTTGTTGTTGTAAAGTTTGAAGTGTTAGTAACTATGGTATTGTGAGGTGTTTGCCTGTCTCTCTCATGCCATGCCTAGCCATCTCTCTCTTGTATCTAGACCATTTAATACCGACTGGTATATTCGATGATGAGGTTTAGGCGGTATACTTCGATCGGGAGTGGAAGTCGGACAACCTGTGTATGTGTGTGTGTCTGATGAGTATTCTACTGTAGAACCTCCGAGCGATCGGCCAAGCTACACCACAATCCTCAAGTCATTGGACATATTAATGAATAAATTGTTAGGTGTTATTTACAGTTCGATCACGGATTTAGATCAGTGAAGGGAACATTAAAAACCAGGGACTATTGGACTGTTCCGTTCTAGTTTGGAATTATCTGGTAATACGCCCACACCTGACCCTGCACCAAGGATTGAACCTAGAATCTTCAGGTTACTGGCCGATCAAGTTGCATCCATTCAAAGCCAATTCGGCGGAATGCAGTGGCCCAAGAATTCTAGTACCACTACCAACCAATGTCATTGGAGAGTATTTGTCGTCATATCCGACCCGGTGAACCCTGCTGTTCATCACTTCTTGCTGGAACTTCAAGTTACTTCGTCGTGTTGTTAGTTACCCTAATGGGGGTCATGTGTGCGTATTGCTGAAGAGTTTCAAACTAGGGTGAAACAGGGATGTGGGATCCACAACCTTTAGGTTACTAAGGGAGCTCGTCGTTCATTCAGCTGTTGGATCAGAATCCATTCAATCGCCAACCAATTTGCACTGCATATCGTGAATAGCAGAAGTTAAAGTTCTTGGGTCATTGAATCTTGTCACTGTGTGACTGAATGATGATAAAGGTCTTAGGTCCGAAACCCGATGGTGTTGTCATGTGCGTGCATACTGCTCTCAGGAGTTCCAAAATACGGCAAATCAGTTAGTTGCATAGTATTCCTCAAGTAGTTTTCAATGATCATACTTTGAACCACAAAATAAACCCCTATAGACTCACACTTTAAATTAGTTGTCATTTGCATAAAGCAAGAACAACAGTGGCAGCTCGTGCAGAATAAAATGGTTCCATCATAGTTTATTTCGTTGAATTCTCATCAGCTACTTACAGCCTGAATATATTATTAAGTTTATGTACAGAAATAATTTTAGCATATATACGCAGAGAGTTCATTTTTAAAATGAATATATGCATACAATGCTAATAATAATAATAATAATCACTTTATCCCAAAAATAATAATCATACAAAATGGAAACTCTCGGCGTTACGTGAAAGAAAGGATGAAAATATCCAGTTACCAGGATAAGAAATGAGAGACTGATAACCGCTTCTTTCTGAAAGCATAAATCGGATTTCAGGCGTTTGATGGAGATTACTTTGGCAAACTTAAGGAAAATTGAACTCTCTTGCCTATTGATAATTTTGAACAATCTTGCGACGTCCACTTGATGACCCGTGCTTGACGATGACACTTTTGAAAGCATTTGTTCCCTTGAGACTTAGAATTTTTTGGTACATTTTTTCAGAAAATCGGAGGTACGCCCATCATTCTGTTCTCCCAATGTAACTGCTCTCGTAGATACGTGTAAATTTGTATATACAGTTGGATTTGTTAACATGGGACCTTTGATTACATAAAAGAGAACGTTGTTCAATAGACGGAAACCAACTTAACTGCAGGATGATAGGCTTTGGTTAGTGACTTACTCCATCTTTTGTTGACTATTGCTGTAATATTTTCACCTTTAAATGTCATTTGTTAAAGTGACTTTTAATTTTCCATTGATTGATTATGCATATTGAAAAGAAACACTCGATATCTACTTGACATATCAGCTGCCTTAAGATGAACACTGATGGATGTGGCTATTAGAATTAGAATTAGAATCTAATTTGCACTTTCTTACCTATTTTGGACTTGCTCAATGGGTTGCAGATACATTCAATCAAGAAACAGTCTCAAACAGGACAAATTACATGTCCTAAATTCTACTGCTGGTCACTATCACCAACCGAGTAAAACAAACCCGTCAAATTTTCAGAACATATTGTAGGCAAAATACATCTACCATATGCTAGAATCACAAATTGACACTTAGCTTCGGTATCGTGTTACTTTTGTCTTCTGGATTGTTCTTCTTTGTTTTCCTTTTATGCTTTCTATATTGTTTCATAAGCATCGTTCATTAAATTCATCTCTCCACTATTCGATATTCTTGCAGATGATATAGGTATTTTTATCTGTATATATATACTACTTATAAATCTTGTCAAAAGGACATGTCACAATCTTATTTGTTTAATGGTGGTGGCTACTAGCAGTTAAGAATCCAAACCGTACGTATTCGTACCTATTGGGACTCACCTGGTGGAATGCCGTTGCATCCATTTGAGAAGTAATTCCGGAAAAGGTTTTAGTTTCACGTGTGATAATTCAGCTTTTGTTTTATTGTCATTATTATTATTCCCTTGGGTTCCAATTGGTACATAGGGCTTCAACAACACAATTTCACTCTGTTACATTTTCTTCTGTCCTCTTCATCTGGTTGGGTCCATGATTGCTCGTAATCTCTCATCTCTTCCTCCAACTCACATGATCTCCTCCATGTCACCCTCGCACTGGCGACCCACTCGTCACTTCCCATTGGGATTCCACTCGAGCAATGGCCTGCATTGTTCGCGATATCATTCGACAAACTCCTCAACGCATGCCCTATCCATTCATCTCCATTATCTCCTACGTATTTGTTGAGAAATCGGTTCTCGGTTGATTGATCTTTTCACAGCCAGAGTTTCTTCTTGCCAGTTTACGCCGTCTCTGGCGTAGACGTGATATTCAGCTGTCTATCGACCAAAGGGCGTGTATAATGCTCAGCAGTCTTCTCCGTCCTCCATCATGGCTGGCTGTGACACATGATAGCCATTGAGTGTGGGAGATATGAAAAGGCTAGCTAGTTGCCTTTGATCGTAGGTGTCTGCGTTCTATCTCCTGTGTGAAGTGGTTGAGTTTCGGCGTCGAGTGCTAGGTATGTGGGAGGGGGAATCGATCGACGAGGCTGTGAAGCTACATCAGTTGAGAGAGATGAATAAAACATGTGTT